CGGTGACCCGGATGAGATGGAACAGATTGCGGGAATTACCCATGGCGGCAGCGCCTTCCATCTCTGATGCGCGTTGGGACCACCACATCTCGTGGTCTCTGCGCAGGCTTGCATTAAGTTCACGTCTTGTTACGAGTCGTGTTTCATTATGCTCGCTACCGGTCGGAATTGACCGACGTGCGTAAAGGTGTAGCGACTCTGCAAAGATCCAGGGTGTCACGGCTCGGCGTGTCAGACCACAACTAACTAAGCCAGCAGAATGCAGAGCATTCTTGATAAGTGATCAGTGCTGGTTAACATCATCGGGTGGGGTTGGTTCTAACTTTTCAGCCAGCGCGTTTTTGGAATACAGTTAGACAAGCTAGTTTGGACAACTTATCACAGCCTAACCGTAGTGTCGTATGTTTGAAACGCCCACCGAAGCCTATGGACAGCTTGGCGCATACTTGAATGCAGCCCCGCCANTGACTGGAGGAAGGCGGATGCCAGGTGGCGTACCGGCAGTTGGAGCGTCTGAAGTTCGTACTGGCGAAGAATAGGCGGTGGTCGGAACATAGAGCCAATAGCTGTTCCCCGTTTTCTGAACGACAGGAATCTAGTCCGAAAGAACCTCCCAGGTGCGCCTCACTCGAAATCAACCGGCCTACTCTAGCATTCATATCACCTGCTAAAATCACAAGATCAACTCGGGTTGCCTTATGCAAAAGGCCGTGTAGATTGTGGTAAAATCTATCTTTGAATGTATCTGGGCTACAATTTGTAGGTGCGTACGCTGAAACGACGAACAAGTTTCGTCTATCGTGGCGACGGCTGCTTATCTTGCACAAACCTCTGAGTCTCATTGCGCACAACCTACTGTGGACTGGGATCCAATCCAGGAGGGCGGCCTCAGCTCTCTCACTGAGAGCCAAGCTGACGCCAGCAAGACCGGAAGCCACAGCCTCAGGGTCCCCAGAGAGGCTTCAGTGAAACTTCTCAGATTGGTTTGATGTGGACGTCAATCGGATAATGGAGCTGGAGTCTTGAATGCGAGTTTCTGGGATGTAATACACACCGATGGCTAGGGTTTTGAGCGTACGAACCAAGCACATCTGTTGTCCTATACACATCGGAGTACGCACATTAATCGTGGCTAGTTTGAACGGACATTGAAGGCGAAGAAGGGCTTCAGTTGGAGAAGGAGTCAATGAGACTTGGATGCTAGTCGAGGTAGGACAAAAGTGAACATCGGCAGAATTTCCACTTCGACATAAAGGGAAAGGAAATAAAAAAGTTAGTTACCGGGACAACATAAAGTGGAATCAAGCATTGGAAATGTTATGGTCAGATAAACGCCCAAATCAATAATAGTGGGATACTGTGCCCTTGACGAAGGGCGTAGCGTAGCTTCATCACCTTGGTGGTTCGTCGCGTTGATAGTCAAGCGGTTAAGGTCTCCAACTTATCAACCCGGACGACGTATGTTCGAATCCAACCATTGCCGCCAAACTGTCTCCAACTTTTATGTATGGCATTCCTTAGATTGGCCGCTTTCTCGCTCTGGAAAACTGTTAGTGTCCTATGTATTCAAGAAAAGAATACAAGAAAGAAGAACCATATTTCGAACGAAGCCCGCCAAAACCGAGGTTCGGAACAACAATCCCAACCGAATTTTCATCAGAACAACGTCGATATCGAGGAGTTAATGTATCGACTTAGCCCACTGAGATGTATTCTTTCAAACAATTGTTAGCGCTACGTCGAAATTAGACGATTTTCCTGAACAAAGTTGGGTATGGTGATGTAAGCTCGCGATATTCAATCCCAAACGAAAATCATTTGTGTTCACGTTATTGCTCGATAACTTTCAATGACTTCTTTCCCTCTCTCTTCAATACTTTCTTAGGATCTTTCGTGAAGCTGGTTTGCCTGCAGGAGTAATCAATTTTGTCCCCGCAGATGGACCCACGTTTGGCAAGGTGATTACCAAACACAGCCAATTGGCCGGGGTGAATTTCACAGGAAGTACCAGGTAATTCTGACGCACTCGCTGCCTTGTTAAACCGCAGCAATAACTCGTTACTCATACTCATGAGTTTAGATTGCATAGTAGCTTTATGCGGTCTAAACTTCACTGATCAGTTAGCTTCATTTAAAGGAACGATGCGTTTTGGTTTGAGCCACACAAAAGCACTTCATCATCTGTTACCCGTTTCGACTAGTTGTTGGATCGATACGAGTTCGTGAATACCGCAACTATCTAAATTCCAGTTTTATGTTTGAGGCTGTGATTAGATACAGTCAGTCGAGCGAAACGGTTTGATGGACCGAGCATTTTCATTCTACGCGATGCGAAATCGACTTGGTGGGCTCTAGAACCAGTCGTAGAAACCAGCCTGGATGGCGTTTGAATCTGACACTCATCTTTCGAGGTGAAATTACTTGTCATTCCTCTTGTGCTAGAAATTATTATTATTGTTGTCATAATTCACACAAGTTTATGACGTAAAGTAGATTTATGTGCTTAGCAGTTCATACCGAAATGAAAGTGGTTAGTCAAAAGGCAAACGGAAAATAGAATTCACATACGCCTCCAGTATCTGACCCCCTTTTGATCACTTCTCCTTTCCAAATTTTGAGTGGACGATTCTCTGTTTACCAAAAGGAAGCGCAGTTAATCTTGGAGTTTTACTTAATCGCTATAACCCACTGGAACAAGTCTCCAACTTCCATAGATTACGTTGATTCGGTCGTGTGTTACGTACGCATTTCACCAAATAGATTGCCATGACGTGCAATGTTTGCTGAAGCACGTAGTGGGTGGCGAAAAATCAGGGTCGGTCAAACTAAGACCTGGTCTGAGGATATGAAAACCCCGACCAGGAGGCTTGCTCTCATAAGTCGGGTTAGGCTACTTGGAAACGGACCTCGGGATCATTGTAATCAATGGTTAGAGACACTGAGTATCGGAAACGGTAGCGCTCGTGCGTCTCTCCTCAATTTCTTTGCAACGTCGGTCTTCCATAATTATCTATTTTCTCTTCGACGCTGCTTCCAGAATTCCTACATTTCCTCTCCTCTTTTATCCAAATGGGTGACAGCAAACAAAACCGCCGCACGAAAATGTATGGTTAATGGTTGTAAAAACTGAAGCGGAAAAGGAAGTGAAAGTTATTCGTATTGTTATTGCCGTTGTTATTATTTGCATCCACTTCCGTGGTATTTGTATGCTCGACTTCCACAACTGATCCGTTATTTGTTCTCAACAAAGTTTTTCTTGCTTTGTGTTCGCCTTTCTGACAACAATTAGATTACCATTTACCGTGTCCGATGCACAGAGTTGCTCTTTACAGCGTAAATACAAAAAAATGTTCTCATCATTTGGTGGTAGGCAGCTCTGCTGTCGTCCGGTTCAGTACGACGCCTAACCTATCGGGGCCCTATGTGGTTCGCTACTCCAAGTCCCGGGGCTTAGGTTGCCGGTTTCCACCACTGAACAGCAGGTCCTCGTGACTATGGGGTTTATCCCGTCTGCTGTTCATCACACTTGGGTGTGTAATAAAAATTTTTTTAAAATCATCAGATAGCAATATATAATGACATGCCAATACATCTCAATATATATATCACTACTTGGGAATAAAATTGTCATGGGAAAATAAAATAAAATAAAAACAGATTTTATTTTATTTTCCCATGACAATTTTATTCCAAAGTAGTGATATATATTGAGATGTATTGGCATGAATACGAATCTCTGAAAACGAGCTTGTTCGCCACTCTGTTGTTTTGGTTTGAAATGTGCTCTGTGGGATTATTTCAACAATATAATGAAATCTTAATGTAAGGCGGTACGGCACCTCCTTTAAGCCTTAGCGCGCCTAAGGCACCCGTCTCGTCACACATTAAACGAGGTCCCACTTCTCTCTCACTGTCACTCGTTTCGCTTTTCAAATTTTCGACCTACTCTCTCTTCCACTAGGGAGTGATCTTGTTGTGACCTGTTCAACTAGGATAGCTGATCTTCAGCTTGTGAGAAAAGTGATCTCTAAGATTTGGCTCTTATTTCTTATGAGAGCACGGCCTTGTCCTGATTATCCAAGCTTTGATTAACCGATCGTATCCAATTACTAGTGGGATTGGTTGAATGCGAATTATCGGAGAATTATCATTTGTTTCCACTGGACGAATTCTGTGAATAGGACGTGCATACGGCTTAACCCATTTAGTTGTTCATAAGGAGTTTCTTTTTCATACTCACTAGGTCCTTAATTGTATCAGATGTCGTTCAGAGAGACAAGGAACTTTCTTCAAATTCATCTGTTGTCCTTCAGAGAGAGAGAGAGAGAGAAGAACTCTGCTGTAACCAAAATGGAATATGCATGTCGGTGTATACGAGGGCATCTCATGCATCCGAAATACGCATGAGTTTGTATGTTCGCTGTTCATCGCACTGAACCGTCTTGTCTTGTATGCATCAAATCTCCGAGTCCAGATCCACATGGCTTAGCAGATCAGCTTTACCGCAAAAACTATTTATTACCCCATCGATATATGTTATTCTGTCATTGTTATTGATCCGTACAAATAACGAACGCGTGTATCACCGGGTTGGTAAACAACATAGGACTTTGTGATTGTAGGGCGGAGTCCGGCCCGGGAAAAGCAAAGTTGTCTCTCATTTGTCTGTTCCTAATTGTTTATGGATTATAATAGTCACATTAGTGTGCTAACTTGCACCGCTAGCGGCTTCGCTCCACTTTGATCTTATTCGGTTCAGTACCACACCTATCTTACCATGACCTTATATCTTTTGGTATTTCCAGTACTGAGGGCTAGTTTTTTGGTTGCCATGACGATATGATCAGTCCCCTTGAGATACCTGACAGTTTGCTCTCCTGTTCAGATCACACCACTGAGGGTAATGAACACAAACGAAGCTCACATTTTTGTTCGACTGAGCTTTTCTATGGGTCATACCTTTCAGATAATGAATTGACACTAAAGAACACGATTGGATGTAACTCTTTTATTTCTCTTGGTCTCACAGGACATTCCGTGCCATACTGAAAGAGATAGCCAAAAATCTGGATATCTATCGTGGTTATCCGCGGACCATTGGTGGTAAGATGCGCGCTTGTTCCTGTCCGTGATCAGTGATCTATTTTATTTTTTAAATTCAGCTCACCCGCTTACACTCGTTTTCACTTGTTTCAGTCCAGCTGTATGATAAACTATGTGTGAGTTCGTCATGCCACGCCGCTACCACTAGCACTTCCCGTCCTGTCATGTGTGGTGTACTGGTACGGATAGATTCACCCCTTTTTTATTGATCCACTCAGTCCCCGAAATCAAATCGGTGCATGCGTAAATGTCCATCCATTCATTCCATACCTGCTCTGTCTCTCTCCCTCTCTCTCTCTCTTGCAATACATTGGTTAGGCTCCCTCCTCAGCTTCGTCTTTATCATTACCATCTTCCTTTATTTTCTCTGTTGTATTTTTACCCCAGAATCACAAAGGCGTCCTCCACTGATGTTTGACTTTTTACGCGGTCCCAATCATCCGTTCATCCGCTGAGCTGGACCCGGTAGAACCATGTCAACCTAGGTATTCTAAGGCTAAGTTCACACGAACCTCGTGCTGACTGTTCATTTGAGCGACGGAGACACAATGGGGACAATATCAATATCGAACTGGCATGAGTAATTCTGTC